GTATGTGGGGGAGGGGCTGTCTGTGGGGCAGTCAGGGGTGGTGTGGGGCAGGGTGTGGGCTCACTGAGGGGTGGTGTGAGGTAGGGGCTGCATGTGGGATGGTGTGGGGTCAGTGAGAGCTGTGTGTGGGGCAGGGTGTGGGGTCAGTGAGAGCTGCGTGTGGGGTCAGTCAGGGCTGTTGGGTAGGGGTTGGTGTGTGTGGGATAGGGTTGGGTGTGTGGGCAGTGTGTGTGGGGGGCTGTACGTGGGGAGCGTTGAGGGGGCTATGATGCTAAATGTAATGGATATATGTTATTTCGTTGGAAAAAAGCGGGTGTTCCTCTTCTGTGAGCCCTCAGCACGTGCTCTGGCTTCCCAGCGGCGAGGGGGCCGTGTTGTGGGGGCAGGCTGGGTTCCAGCACTGCAGCCACTCACCTGATGAGGAAGTGCTGTGGTAGGTGTGCCGCACAGGGAGCCCGGCTCTGCGCCCTTGGCTCTTGCATAATGCTCGTTAGCACTCTGCTTTTATTAGCTCTGGTGCTGCGTTTTAACACGGCTTGTGCTGGAGTGGCTAACGGGTGCAGGTGGGTGTCCTGGGCAGAAGCCACGGAGCCTGCATGCTGTCCCTGGAGTAGGAACCTGAGGATGTGGAAATTGTAGTTACAGGGCAGCAAGTAGGGAGGGTTCAGAAATGTGCTCCTGGAGTGATCGATGCTACCTGACCTTGGGCAAACACGTGTCTCAGTGGTGTTAGGCAATGCTGCTGGTAGGATAAAAACCCCACCACCTCGCTGTGTCTGTCAGCCAGCTGATGTGAACGGGGTAAGTTTGTTTAAAGCAGTGTTTCCATTGGCTTTTTGAGTCAAGAATGTGGAAGTCGTCATTGTTTCAATCTCACGTGGCTCAGGAGGGCAGAAAGAGAAAGAAGGAAAAACAGGATGGAGAATGGCCTGGGCAAGGTTGGCAAACACGAGGTCTTGTCTTACACTGTTGGTGCTTTTTGGGTTTAGCTGATGCTGGATTAGCGGTGTCAGCTGCCTTCCTGTGAGCTTTATTTCAGTTGTGTTCCCTCTGCTGTGCAACAAAAGGTGTCGATTGCTTTGGGAGATGCCAGTGTCCCAGGAGACTGCAGGCGAGCCTGGAGCAATGAAGGCATTGCCTTTTCCATCTGCTCTCCTGACACCAGCAGTACAGTTATGCTGTGTCCTTGCCTGTCCTCTCAGGGTCCCCAGAATTCTAGTGCTGGGGTCCTCGTTGGTGGGGGCTTGTCTACTCTTTTCTGTTGTTAAGCGTGGGCGCTAAAATTCAGAAACGTTTTGTGATATGTTGCTTTTGTTTTCCAAGTGGGATTTCAGTAAAGTCCTTGGGTTCTCTCGGTAGGCCTTTTGTTTAGAGTAGTTCACATTTGGTTTTAGCGCCTGCTGATTTCTTAGAACAATTTTTATGCAACTCATCAGGCTGGCTTCTTGTTATTTCTTATGAAATGCTCTGCTAAAAGGCCAGAGGATCCTGGCAGTTCATATCAATCACTAATTTGCCGCATCTTTCAGTTTTTTCCATAGGGTTTGAGTACTGATCTTCTCTTGGTTTTGGTATTTAGAGTTTCTTGTAATGTTGGACTTTCTTCTTAGCCTTGCCACAATGGGGAAAAACATGCCTGGAAAAGAAAAACTAGCTTTTCTGATGAGTGAACTGGGGAGGGACAGTCGTATCCTCAGCTAAATTCACCAAGGTCATAATTAACTGATGGAAATTGTATAACTTTTAAGATGATTCTGTCTATAGGAGTCTTTTTTGGAAGAAAGTTCCAAATGTTCCTGTGAGCTCCAGACTTGCTTTTGTATTGCTGTATAGAAAGTTGCTTGTAAACCTGAATTTTATACCTTTCCTATTCTTCTATTCCAGGCTGTAAGGACATTCTGTGTTATTGAAGGAAGGTGTTCTTATTTGTGTAGTGACTTATGATGTCAAGAACTGTATCGTCCTGGATCTTAACCTCAGCAAGAAACAGAATTGTTTTACAAGGAAAAGGACGTTTGTACTCTGTCTGTATCCCAAACAGAAACAAGATAAAATGGAAATTTGTTTTCTCCAAAACACGTCCTTGCCCTGCTGGGAGCTGCGGCTTAGACAACACCTTCTCCTTAAAAAAAGCATTCCGACACACTTCCACCGAGGAAGAACATTTCTCTTTCCAGTTGTCTCCGTCGCAAATCAATGAAATACTCAGAGCCGGCGAATTATCCCATAAAATCCTGGATTTGAATGGTAAAAATACAAACTCGGTGTTGAGGTTTGAAAGTAACCAGTTGGCATCCAACGCCCCTATTGAAGACCGCCGAAGCGCAGCCACTTGCCTGCAGACCCAAGGGATGATGTTTGGGGTCTTCGATGGCCACGCGGGCTCAGCCTGTGCCCAGGCGGTGGGGGAGCGGCTCCTGCACTACATCGCGGTGTCTCTCATGTCTCGGCAAACCCTGGAGGAGATCGAGCTCGCCGTGGAGTGCATGAAGCCTGTCCTGCCTATTCTGCAGTGGCACAAGCATCCCAACGACGTAGAGTATCGAGAAATAACCTCACAGTATTTTGAAAGCCTCCGGGTGTACTGGCAGCATTTGCTGGACTTAGAAACCGAGCAAGGGTTTAGTTTAGAAGAAGCCCTGATATCTGCGTTCAAAAGGTTGGACTCGGACATATCACTGGAAGTTCAGGCTCCCCAGGAAAACGAATTGATGAGAAATATTGCCCTTCAAGTGGCTTTTTCTGGTGCCACAGCCTGCGTTGCTCACGTTGACGGTGTTCACTTGCATGTTGCAAATGCCGGTGATTGCAGAGCAGTTCTAGGGGTTCATGAAGAAGATGGAACGTGGTCTACTCTCCCTCTGACCCGGGACCATAACGCCTTCGATGAATTTGAGATTAGAAGACTGAAGAGAGAACACCCTAGGTCTGAGGAGAAAACCGTGTTTGTGAACGACAGGTTACTGGGGATTCTCATGCCCACCAGAGCTTTTGGAGACGTGCAATTAAAATGGAGTAAAGAGTTGCAGCACAGTGTTCTCGAGAACAGCTCTGATGTCGAGGCTTTAAATATTTATCAGTACGTTCCTCCAAACTACCACACACCCCCTTATTTAAGCGCGGAGCCTGAAGTCACATACCACAAACTAAGGAGCAAGGATAAGTTTCTGGTTATTGCTTCGGACGGACTGTGGGAGTTGCTGAGTAACGAGAAGGTTGTACAACTTGTTGCTGGACACCTTGCAGAGCTCAGTGCTCAGAAACCACAGCTGGCCTTGGAGAAGCCGGTGAATTTGGGGTACATGCACAGCTTGTTACTGCAGAGGAAGAACAGAGGCGTTGCCTCTCTTGACCAGAATGCAGCTACTCATTTAATACGGCACGCGATCGGGAGCAACGAGTACGGGGAGGTGGACCAGGAGAAACTCGCTGCGATGCTGACGCTGCCCGAAGACCTTGCCAGAATGTACCGGGATGACATCACAGTCACCGTGGTGTATTTCAATCCAGAGACAATCGAAAATTACTACAGAAACAATGAGTAGCCACGGGGGCTGCTGCCCTTCTGTGCCACTGGCCAGCTTTGATACTGAAACCATCACTGCTTCTCTCTGATAGTCCCAGTGTTACAGTCTTGGAGGTTTCTACGTCTTTTTGTTACTTACTAGTCTTGAAAATAACTTTCTAGGAGCGAATTTGGTGGAAGTTCCCTGGGTTTCCAGGTCTGCACGCACTGAAGAAAAATGCTTTGATAGAAGCTGATTGAAATGTAACTGAACTAAAATTGCTGAGCCAGTTCTGATTCTGTGGGAACCACTGGTAAAACTTTCCAAATGAACAAACGAGACAAATTTCACCAAGGCTGGTACAATTTACTGGAGAGCTGGGTAATACCTGTAGCTGCCTGGAGTGTAAGAAAGGCTCCGCTCCTGCGGAAAACGAGTAGCATCCTATTGAAGCACTGTAATTGAATTAAATAAATAACTATCAAACCTTTATTTGATGTAACAGTGTCAGATACTTTAAGGAATTGCCTTTTATATGTAAAGACAGCACTATAGAAGGCTCTTCAAAGAATCCTGGGGCTGGCAGATGTTTTCTTTCGTAATTCTTTTTTTTTTTAAGCTGGGGAACAAAATCATATTTTCTTCCACAATTACTCTGAAATGTGAATGCACATTCTCTTAATTCAGTGTGTGGGCTTAGTGTGGCAACTTACAGCTCAAACACATGGGAGGCACTTCAGGATTCCCTCTTTAGGAATTAACAGTACTAGACTTTAGCATTTAAGTGTGTGACTTGCTTAAAGAATATACCCATTTGTGAAGTATTGATCTATGAGTGCTGTGCATCAAATTCTCCAACTGTAATTTAAATGAAGTTTGACAGATCGAGAAGCCCAAAAATTCACCTAAATGTAAATACAGCAAAAGAGAGAGCAGCTTTCTCTTCAGTTTTAACTTAGAAGAGAGGAATAGCATTGATGGTATTTTGCCAAAATATCTTTAATCTTTATTTTACTCTTAATCTTGCCTTTGGACATCAGCTTGTCCTCCTAGGTGCAGAGTTATTGTTTCTAATGAATGTATGTTTTAATCTCTGAACATATACTTCTATTTTACAATGGTTTTCTTTTATGCTGTGCTTTCCAGAGTGCCAGTCCTTGCTTGCAAATTAGCTGTATTTTTTAAAATTTCACATATGGTGTTCCCTGGTGAGTCTTTTCCTTGTTTACGTACAGCAGTAGCTGTTGCCGGCAAGAACGTGAGTACTGGGAATATGGGACTGTTTACTGCTGGTGCTGCTGAGTAAGAACTCATGTGGGTGCAGCAGAGCACATTGAAATACTGTGGGTTTTTTTCTGAATTTCACTGTAAAGCAGATGAAAAAGTACTTAATTTTTTCTCAAGATTTTAAGTGGATGAGATTTTGGGGCATAAACCAGTAGCAGTTGTGAACTTGGGGCTTTTTTTTATACTTTTCCTCCAGATAAAAATTCTTAGTGCTTTTGCAGGCATTTTAGTTATCTGTTTTGAAGATTGATTAGAAGGAAAGTAAAAATGTTTAAAAAAATGTTCATGCTTTTGACTATTCAGGATTGACCCGTAATGCAGTGCTCTACCGAGAGGGCGCCTGGGCCAGGAGAGGAGAGCCAGCTTCCAGCAGCATTCCTGAGCCCTTGGGGCTTTACGTGAGCCATTTCCATTTCCTCTTACAAACCCTTGAAATTTAGAGCTAAAGCAGTAAAAATGCATTTCTAGACTACCTGTCAATAGAGAAATTAATAGAGTAGCTAGAGAACCAAAGAGGTTAAACCGTATTGCCGCTGATATGAAGCGATACATTTTTTTATGAAGATAATCTAGAAAACTTTTGATGTAGAGCAAACCTGCCACTGCAAAAAACGTAGCAAACCAGCTTAGTATATAGTCATAAAATAAAAAAATAAGCTGTTTTGCACTTTCACCACCCGGTGGTGAAATCTGGGTCATTTGAAAGAGTCCTTGTGACACACTGTGTCATGTGAGCGTTACTCCGGGACGCGTCACTCCACGTGGGGTGTTGGAGCTGCAAATTGCTAATGACTGTTTTGGGGAGCGTGTTTGACAGTAAGAAAGGTGCTATTTCTAGTTTTGTGTTAGTTTTGCTCAGTTTAACACACAACACTATAATTATCCTACAATGGGAAAGGATAACATTAAACCAGTTAGAGGTTTGGGAGGTGTTGTTTTTTTTTTTAAAATGCAGATCATGGATTTCACTGCTGTACTTGTGGGAAGGAAAGAGATTTTCATCCCTAGCTGCAAACACAGCTAATAGGCATTAATAAAAGTAGTGGTTTGTGACTTGGAGCATCCACAATGTTTAAATGAGTGAACTAAATGCATGAATCTGCTCCTGCAGGTGCAGTGAGGTGCAGGGTTAATAGCAAGTTATCGGAAATATGTTGGAACAAACGCCTTTGCAGGGAGACTGTTTGGTTCAGGTGAGAGAGCGCTGCTCGGCTTCTGTTTCCTTTCTTTCCATAGCAGTCCAGAGAAGTGACAGGCAAAACCAGTCACTCGAATTCTGGCTCTCAAAATGTGGTATTATGGGCATTATGACTCTTAAGTAAAACATCTGAGGCTAAGCACTGATATAGATACTAGAAAAAAAATAATTTTCTTCCCTAAAACTTAAGCCTTGCGTAAAAATAAAACTTTGTCACTTTGGGTTTTTTTCTCTAGAACTCTTACTACTGTTCCTAAATTATGATGCTTATTTATATTGAAGTATTCAGGCCTTCATAATGTGTTTGGAGGTTGTGGGGTATTTTTTATAACCTTGTTTGTAAATAGTGAGGGGGATTGCTGTTTTTGCAAGTAAAAATATTCATTTCACCTGTAAAACTCACTTTTATGAAATGGATGGAAGACTGACTGTTCCAGCTGCTGTCCTGGAACTGGCAGTTCTTTCAGCTGAACGCTCACGTGAGAAGATGCCAGGTTCCAGGTCAGAGAGCAGAAATGTTCAAGCTGGGGGGGGAAGTAGATAGTTTGAGTTTGATTAAGTGCTTGGAGCTCTGCACAATGGAAATAATTGTTAACAATTATTTGCACAATGGAAGTAATTGTTAATCCACCAGAGTAAGGACACCTTGATACTATTGAGGTTCCCTTGGGTGAACCTGTCAGCAGAGGGAGCACGAGCTCACCAGCCAAAATATCCACATTGGCCTGCAGTTAAAGTATCTACAGAAAAATATTTTTATTTTGATAGGGTCACATGGACACGTGTTCATCGGCCGTTAAAACATCATTGTTACATTCACATGAAGCATGTACTGTAACTGTCTTAAAATATGAAAAAAAAGTACAAATACAACATCTATAGAAACACTGATAAAATCCTTAAATTATAACAGGCCAGTAGCAAGGCTCAGGTATTTGAGCATTAACTTAATTTCTGTTAATTCCGAGTGTTTGGCTTGGGGGCAGTCGAAAGAAAAGAAAATGACTTAGGACAGATTTTTTTTTTTTGTTCTTCTTTATTTTTCTTCCAAAAGAAGATATCTGCCTAAACCTTGAGGAAGAGTTTTTTTGGTATTTACTGGAAAAGAGGTTGTCTGTTCAGAGCTGTAACTGTTCTGGGAACTGAAAGTAGAACTGTGGGCACTGTGTGGTTTTGTCAGGGATCAGTTGGTGGTATCTGCTCTTTGCCTCGGTAGGAAGTGGGAATCCAAGGCATGTGTTTCTCCTGGAGTTTCAGAGCATGGTGTGACATGAGGGGAAAAAAAAAAAGGTTTTCTTTCTTTCTACCTGTTGTGGAGAGGTTAACCTTCAAAGCAGTGTTACTGTCAAATAAAACACTTGAAATGTTACTAAATCTTTGTCTTTATCCTGAAGAGTCAGTTCAAACTGTGACTGTCAGATCTCCCCAGTTGTTAGTCAGGTAAGAATTGGTCTTATTTCTTACTGCTTTAGTTAATTCCTGCTCAGAGACTTTAACCCAGCTGGCTTACACCACACTAGCAAGTGGTGGGGTGGTCTCCCTGAGTTTGGCTGCTTTGATTCCATGCTATTGGAGACTCTGGGAATGGTTTGACTGAGGATCTTTAACAGCTTGAAGGAGAAAGATGAATGGGAGCCCAGCAGTTGTGGAGGGGAAGTAGAATGGTGGTTTCTATTTGGGTTAAGCAAACTTAAGTGGGCACTTCTCATTTCTTGAAGAAAAAAAGAAGTACCCTTTTGCCTTCTGGTGAGCTTTTTTGAATTAGAAACAATGTGGAGGGGAAAAAATGTCAAAAAGCAATGCTTAAAAGGGTACTGGAAGCTGAGGGAGCAGATGAGTGGGTTACAAAGCACATGTCTCAGGCCTTTCTGCTGGAACTGTGGAGCCAGTCCCATGGGGACCTGTTCCAGAGCAGGTTGGGTGGTTCAGCCCCTGACTTGGTGCTTCTCTCCAATCAGCCAAAGGCTGCTGGCTGTGGAAATAGTTCTTCCTGGCTGGAATACTGTCAGCCTGGGGGGTTCTGAGCTCTGCTGGTGGAGCCTGTGTCATGCTCTTGCTTGTTTTTGTTCAATGCCCTTTGCTTCGTGCTCTCTGAAACACTCCTTGTTGCTCTGGGGTGGTTCTGACGTCACTGCGTCGTGCTCCACAGTCTTTTTCTTAGGTTTTCCTTAACAGAAAGGATTGCAACTTCAGTGCCTCACTGAATAAATCCCTGATTTCATGCCTGCAGGACCCAGGGTGGCCAGGAGATGTCACCTGAGTTTTGCAAAAGAAGAGCTGGGCTCTGACTTCTCCTCTTCCCCACGGTCTATGTGTTCCGAACAGAAATCCCAAGTGCTGGTGAGAAATGGAGAAAAACCCCCACCGATCACCTATACATCTTAAAAATTCTGTGTAATATATTAGTACTCCCAGCTGCTGAACCAGGTAACCTGAGCAGGGGTTGGATTAACTTTAATTCTTTGCCAAACCCAAGTTTTAGTGACCCAAGGACCCTAAGTGGTACTTGGAAACCTTTATTTGGACAAATTTTTAGTCTGGAAATGAAGTTGTAAAGCTGCTGGAGGAGGTTGCTGCTGTGAGAACTGCTGTTCAGTCTGGGTGTTCACAGAGATATCTTGGTTCCACCTCGCTGTCAGCTGGGATTCTTGAATAAGATGAGGGTTTGAGAAATAAGTTGCTGTTTGGTTGGTTTAGTGGTGGAGGCTTTTTGGCCTCCCTCCCCTTTATTTTGTTTTTTTTTTTTCCCCTTTATCCGCAGTCCTTTCTTCTGGACATAGTTGCCTGCAGTGGATGCAGCTTATCAGAACTCATATCTCTTACCTGTTCTTGGTGTTGCTCTTTCCACCCCTTACTCCGTGGTGTTTCTTTTTCCATTTACTGTTCTGGGCAGCTGCTCCAAGGAAAAGGGGCACCACTGCATTTTTTGGAGCGGTGTGAGGAGGGAGAGGTGAGTTTCTCCCTCAGGCAGCAGGGGAGGGAATTCTGGAGCACACCAGGAGGTGCT